CAGGTCACATTCCTCGTAGGCGTAAAAACCTACTTGGCAATAAACAAAATTCTGATTCTGATTCTGATCCAGAGTATGAATGCTCTCAACTTTCATAGAATCTGTTATCCTGCACCTGGTGTACCTTGAACACAACTACTTTTTTGCATCTTCTAAATTGACTCTGACATAAACATTGGTGGAGAAAAAATTAAAAAAAACAAAAATAAATTCAAACCCCTAGGATACAGGGCAAATCCAAAGCCACATGATAGAAATATGTATTAGCAGGGATGTCCCGATTTGTACCAGATACAATACAAAAAATTTGTGATTTTGTAGGGATATTATACAAAATGTCATGAGAATTCATTACTGCACACATTCATGAAGCCATGAGTCTGTGGGAAAACACTAAGTTTACAGCACAGAGGCCCACTAGTAGCACCCACTGGGACTTTATAGCAGAGAAAGAGAGAAATGATGAGAGAAACAAGCACACTAAAGTCAACCAGGAATACAACCACTGCTTTGGACTATATACAGACTGGTGACCAATTAAAGGACAAACCTGAATAAATGAAAAGGAGAAGCACAACACATGGTAAAGCTTCTATACAGAGCACTCAAACTGACAGAATGGCTTGTCACTGTGTATTCATTCAGCTTAACCTCAATATTTACTGCATTATGTCTACACTACAGATCTACTACAGACCCCAAGTCCCCCAATTCTGCATCTTCTCACTATCATCCACTGCTAAAGGAACAACTGCAGCATTCTCAGGGGTTGTAGATAGGACTGAGTATACGTCCTCAGATACAGAAGTATAATATTCAATGAATCCTTCACTTCGTTCTGTAAGTGATATTTAATGTAAATAATCAAACTAACTCAACTTTCATCTAGTTTGTGAGCAACAGTAGCATGCCACAACCAAAAGAACTACAGTATATTATACACTAATAAACAACAAAGGAGACACAATGGATCTACTGTTTCAGATACAACAAAGCAGATGTGAGTCACATGATGATCAGTTCCATATTCTGAGAAAAATTGGAGCTGATTCTTTGTTCCTGGGCTGACATGGACAGCACAAGCAGCAACCACAACAGCTGAGTGCTGAAACCAATGTGCAAGTTGCAGTTCCTCTAATAGCATCGTAGATGCTGCCTCCACAATAATCAAACTAGTTTAAAATCGAAGGGAAAACACAGAGTCCATCGAAAATACAATGTCATGCCATTTCTTCTGTGCCCCCAACAGCTGATTTCATTTCTTTATTTGTGATTACAACAGTTTGAACTGAATTTGCAACAAAACCTAAATATTACCATGGAAAGTCATGTAGCTACAATATTGTGGAATATAAGCTCACTGACCCAAATAATGGACCTACACAGAACACATATATGGCAAATGGAAAAATGAAAAACAGTGTGATAAAATCCATTAGTTTTAGCTTTTGTTTTTAACTCATAAACACATTTTTGGGGAGTTTAGGCCCAGAATGTCCCGTCAACATGGTTCAAATATACCTGGAATATTGACTCTCCTCTATATATAAATATGTGAAGAAAGTGAATATCAATCTTGTTATCAAGACTTCAGTTTCACTTTTACAAAGAAAAGTAAACATGCATTGTTTTGCACACTTTATACTCTACCTCAGAAATACGAAAGGGTTCTATAATTTGATAAAGAAAATATATTTTGTAGATTTTTTCTGAGAAACTCTTTTTCAGTCATAATAAGTCTGAATCTCATTTTGTCCAAATTATTTGATGAACTGTATCGAATCGTGAGTTGAGTGTCCAAAGTAAAAATGTATTTCATAAAAGCTGTAGAACATGCATAGTAACACATGCAAACAGATGGCATTTCTGAGCAGCCCAAATTACTCTGAAAATAATATATGGCATTGAGCAGTAAGTCCCAAATCTTTCCCCAAAAAACAATGACTGACATGCAATCAATGGGACAGCCAGGCAGGTAAACATGTTTCATTTCACTAAGAGCAGTGCTGTGCCTTGTTTAACTGAGTGAAAGTGACTAAACATTCTACCGCGACACATGAGAAGCTGCCATGTTTCATTCCAAGCCAGAACCCCTTTGCCGTGCCACGGGTCAGTACCACAGCGATTAGTTAGCTGTGCAGAGCTAAACACCAGTTGGCAGGACTTCAAAATCTTGGCAATCAAAGAAAAAAAAATGTTTTGAAAGGCATTTGGAAGATATTGCGGCAGCTCTGAACACTGATCAGAATCTAAATGAGAAACATGCAGCAAGCCAACTGAAAATGTGGCCAGTCCTTCATGTTTCAGTTCTCCCCAAAACAACAGTGGTTTGGACTGAAGGCACAGTAGTCCCAAAGCAGAAACAAAAGCCGAGTTCCTCATATTCCACTGGAGCTTTGCACGCCCTGCAATCAGGATTGCGTCAATGTTTGTTGATGAATCAGTGTGGTTTAAAACTTGGTGTTTAGTCGAAAGGGTTGCCAACAAGTGAGCTTTATTGCAGCAAACCAACATGTGGCCAAACTTGTGTTTAGATGAATCCTAAGGCTTTACATTGCAACCAAGGACATAAACAGTTTCAAAATAGAAACCTGAGCATCAAACAAAGGCGGGAGCAGTTTGACCCCCACCCTGAAGGCTTGGGCCTGGGGAGTGACCGCCTGTCAACGCGCATTTAGAGGGCAGCAGTGTCCTTCAACACCACGGATGTGGAGGGAGCATCGGGGCCGGGACTCCAATAAAGGGCTGATAGAGAAGTGACCGAGCAAGAATTTGGGAGGAATTTGAAGGATTTGAAGAAGTGGTGACCATGCAGTGTTGTTCAGCAAATATGAGACTAGGCCCAATTGTTCAGTCAAATGCTGCTCATTGTATTAAAGGCTGTGAATGTGGCAGTGTGGATCCTTAACCTGCAGTTCAGTCTGAGTCAGCCAACACCAGAAAAACAGCAGTGGCTGCCTCTATCAGTGCCTTGTCCTCGCTGTGACTAATAACAGAGGCTGCAGTTGACACCTGGTACAAAAATGTTTTGCAAATGACCATTTCTCACCAGGTTCACCTTGCAATCAAATCTTGTGTTGTCGGCCAACATACAGAGAATAAAGACACATCTGTGTTCCACTGAACAACTAGAGAGGACACTTGTGGTAGTTTTCTGGTACCTTGCCCAGACAGGATGAGGTGGCTTGTCAGTGATGCATATACGTTTACCCTAAACTAGTGCATCCGAACCTCATAAAATTAAGCTACTTGTGAACAATCTAAAGATCTGCTACACAAACAAAATGGTATTGACACAGTATGGGGTTTTGGGGTTTGGTTTGGGCTGTTTTTGTTGCATAAAGCAAGAGAATGTGTGTTGCTTTGCTCTAGAAAGTAATCAGCGGAATAAAGCTCAGAGCAGTTCAACCAAAAGGTGAAATTTGCTTTTTAGATTGGTTTTATTTGAGTAATTTTCAGATGCCTGAAGGAGTAAACTAACCAGTATTTCACAAGAAAACGTTTAGGGTTCAGTATTCTGGTGCCAGTACTTTTTCACTAATGAAATTAAAACGGTTCACTATCAGCCTAGAATACATATATAAGACTATGAATCTGGCCAAGTATTCAGTGCCACCCTTTGATATGCTACAGACACCTTTCAGTCAGTATTCAATACAAACATCTCTTTTGTTCTTTCCTATCCCATTCGCCATCTCAAGACCACTCGGTTTTATACTGTGAGTCCTTGGGGTAGATCCAGAAGCATAGATTATTGTTTAATTGAATTTAATTAGTTGATTTGTCCTCACTGCTGCACACAATCTCAAGCCTCCCTACACCCCCTCTGAACGTGTCCTGTTCCCGAAGTGTTCTCTGGCTGCACTCACACCTGCATTCACAGCTGTCCACTTGCCACACTGGACCGCCGGCTACTCACTCAAGTGACTGTCTGCGTTTGCGTGCGAGTGCTCAACACGTGTATCACGGGCTTGTATATTGCACTCATTGCACTGTATGCATGAGTGTGTGTGTGTATGTGTGCGCATTCCGCATGCATTCATACATACTGATGAGCAGCGGTTCAGGGCTATTTATAGAGCAGCTATATTAGCTCACCGTATGTGTCAGCTGCTGCTCTCAAAATGGCCACAGACAGTACGAGCAACAGCGGGAAAACTAGGTGAGAAAGTAGGTAGAACAAATGAAAGTGGCTGCTCTCAACCTCAGTGTGTGTGTGTGTGTGTGTGTGTGTGTGTGTGTGAGAGAGAGAGAGTTGAGATGCTTGCGGCTTTGTCATCAAACAGGGTACAAGATATATATTCACTGTAAGCAATGTGCACATAGAGTAGTTGCTACAACACAAAAACATGTTCCAATGCCAAGACAGAACAAGTAGCAGCCTTTTCAGAGCGAGACTGAGTCACCTGGCTTGTCAAAACTTGCGTACACGACGGCAGACTGTGTTCCCGAGCAATCTCCATTGAGTGTGGTCAAGCTGTGTTTGAAGAGAGAAGAGAGAGACAAAGAGAGAGCATAACGATAGAAGGAAAAAGCCTCAACCCAGAAGGACGTCAAGACGTGGGACTTTCAATAACAGTGATTGTCTGTCTGTGTGTGTGGTTTGTGTGTTGTATGTGTGTGTTGTGTGTGTGTGTGTTGTGTACATGTGTGTGAACATGTGTGTGTGTGTGTGTGTGTTACAGGAGAGAGAAACATAGATGTTTGTGAATCCCTCCGGCGGGGCAGAGAGGTGGACGTTGATTAGAGCTGAGGGACATCTCTTGTGCCTGCAGACCAAACAAAGCAGCCCCTCACCGCCGGAGACAAAACTGCCCCTCTCCCTCTCTGCATCCATCGCTCTCCTATAGCTCTATCTCTCTCTCTCTCTCTCTGCCACACATTCCAACTCACTTGATGAAGCAGCGAGCTCCCTCGAATGTGTATCCTTCCTCCCATCCTGTTGGTAAATCTGCGAGGACAGGGGAGGGGGAGAGAAAAACACAAGAAACATAAGCAGCTGTGCAGAGAGATATGAAGCAGATTGCACACGCGCACCTGCACAGCAATGCAGTGTCTGGACCACGAATAGCTCATTTGGCTCGTGCTCTTTAATGCCCCCCCCTCCCCATTAACCAGAGCAGATACTTAATGGTTACTCATCATCATCATTGTGTTTCTGCTGCTCAGCCTCCAGCTGTGTGCATACGCTGCTGATCTGCATGCAGCGGTGCCCTCCCACCCGTCATCCTTTCCACATTTAATTTTGGAATATCGGCTTCGCACCGGCGCACCAGGCGCAATGCATTGTTCTTTAAACCGGCCCCGGCGCATATACGTGCTCGGTAACGCCGCGGTTCTGCAGTGGAGCGGCTCTCAGCGGTATATGTGTCAGATGTCACTGCAGGGAATCAGCTCCCAAATCGGTTCACGCCTACGTGACGGAACTTTTAAAAAGTGTGTCGCAAAGTGTCCAGGTGGAGCGAGGGGGAGTGAGGTGGAGGGCTTTTTTTTGGGGGGGGGGACACCGTGCGTAATGGTCCGCCAGAGAGAGGAGAGCAGAAAGGGGGGAGCGGAGCAGAGGAAGGCTGTTGCTTTTTTGCTGCAGAGAGAAGAAATCTCCCTCTCATCGTCTTCCACGGCTCTCTCCGCAACTTGTCGCCCCTTTTTTTCTCTCCACCGTGACGCGCGGATAACCTTTCCCGTGCGCGCATGTGTGTGCGGGGTTTTTTCCCGCAGGGATTGAAGAAAACGTTGTGAGGACTGTTTACCTGGAGTTTTTCTGTGCCCCGTGATTACAGCCTCTCCAGTAACAGGATGCAACCAGGTTGTACTCTTTGCTTCTTCGCTGTTGGTGGAAGAAAACGGAGGGGAAAAGGTGAACACAGAAGCCGAAAAACACAAACAGGGAAAAATGCGTCGGAGAAATAAGCAGTACGTATCCATAAATCCGTGTGTCCGCGTCATATTTACTTGATGAAGAATATGCGTCCATCCCGAGTCACCCCATAACTCCAAGAAGAGGGAAGGCAGGAGAGCCAGTCCGGCTTAGGATCCGCCGCCATGTCTAGCTGAGAGCTCTACTGCTCTGGGTTACTACACACAGGGGCTGGAGTGCGCGGCGCCGTGCCAAGCGCGCGCGAGGGATCCCGCGTGCTCGCGCTTACAGGAGATGGGAGCGCGCCCGGAGGATAAAGACACAAGCAATGATTTTTTCTGCCAAGTAAGGGGAGGCGGACGTCCCTCCGTCAGTGTGTGTGGGGCTGGATTGGCCCCAGCTCGGATCATTGGCTCAGCTGTGACTTTATAATCAGTCTGACAATCAATCAATCACTATGGGTCGATATGAGTCAGGCTTTTCATACCAACAAACACAAAGTGCTTCACACTATAAAAAAACAGTTCTCACCTCTCCTCCCCATCCACAAACAAAGTAATAAATTACTCTGTAATCAATAACACACTCAATAACAAACAACTGAGGAAACACCACAGGCAGGATTAGAAAAAGATACAAATAAGAGAAGGATATGCCAAATAATAAAAGTGAGTAAAATGTTTAAATAGACAGTCAAGAAAAATAAGAAACAAAAGGTAGTTATTTTGCACCAAATCAGCTCAAATGTGACAAACAAACTCAGCACTAAATAAGAATAGAAATCACTGGTTCCCAGCCTTTTTTGCTGAAGGGAGCCCTTCTCTATCACTGAATACTAAACTTAAACTATTTTAGCCCAACTAATGTGTTGTTTTTGTTGCTTTGGCTATTCTGAGGCCGATGCCAATACCAAATGGTACTGGAATGAAAATAGACTCAATATGCAGGTATACAGTGCATATGTCTTATAAGATATATATGCACACATATCTACTCTCTTCATTCCCACTTTATTCTTTTGTTCCCCCTGTTGGCCTTTTTTCATCTATTATGTATAAAACCACAATTGACTGCCGTAGAAGTAAGAAAAATATTTATAAAGAAAAATAAAGATTTTTTTCTGTCCTGAGATCCTCTGGTTGAGATGGTTTTCCTATGGATAAAAACCAACATAGTGCAATTCTAACCACAGACCTCCAGACCTAGTTCAGTCCTCATCATGGAGTCAGTGCAACTCTGCTGGAAGGATGAACAGCATTCTTCCAAAAGACATTCCCTCACAACGTCTTTAATTACAACTCCTCCATCCTAGAAAATTACTCAGATTTAACCTCCTGTCCGATAAACTGCTCCCCTGTAATACAGAGAGATGCACAGCGGACTTTGTTTTGAATAACCGCAGCCCTCCAACTGGCAAAATATATGTAAAATACATTGTATTTATCATCAAAATTCAACTCAATGTAAAAACTCATATTGCACAACACCACTACAGTTAATGGGATAAATAGAATCAGACAAATGCACGATATGCCCAAATACCTCGTCTGACTACTCTGCACACGTATACAATCTTATTGGTCGAGGGTCATTAAGCAGCTGTCCTATTATATTCTAAATCCCAGCATCCCAGTATCCTCTTGACTTTGCATGGCAGTCTAACAATTATTCCCATCAACCCACTCCATGAGAGCTTTCTCCTCTTCGCATTAACAATAGCAAATAAAAGACATCTGATTGTATTGGAAGGATGTACACACACACACACATATGAACAGTTTGGGCACGCTACAATACTACACACTCGCTACACCCCCATCAAAACACCTTATTCAGTCATACACGTGTGTGAGAGAAACTATGGTGATAACCATGGTAATGCGAAATGTTACAGTAGAATAATGGCGGTTCAACCTGGCAGACTACGCAGAAGAGGATCTCCTCCCTCTGTAGATAAAAACATCTCATTCTAAGGTAACGAAAACACAACCATTCTTATTTTCAGGTGATTATACACTAATGAAAATGTGGTGGCGAGGATAAGATGAAAGTAAACCTAATAATTTAACCAATAACCAAATT